TGTTTAACACCGTGAGTGGCACGAAAGTGAAGCTTTTAAATTAGGACAGCAGGAACAGCCCTCACCTCTGCAGGGGAGACGATGCAGTACCAGAGAAAAACCTGCCTTTTTCTCGGGATCGATTTTTACTATTTTACTGCAAAAGTTACTTTTTTCTGCACAAGAGCTACTAAAAATAATGTAAAAACGGATGGACAGCAGGTTCTGCCTTTGCCGGAATTGCAAATAAAACTCTGAATTATCTGTCTATTCTGTCGAAGAAATGAGGTTCTTTTATATAAAGGATAGCGCCATCCCGCATCTGATGTTAAGTGGGTGCTATAACTTCAACTGTATCTTGCAATTTAAGCTGCCCCTTTTCTTGTTGTTGAAATTCTTGCGCGACTAGCCGCAAAGTTACTGAGCACGGTGAAGATCATGTTCTTTAGGAATATTGCCGCTGGTGAGATACTTATAACCCCAATTTCAAGAATCGGTCTCAGTACAACAGTACTACCGTTAGTGTTGCATTTGTATAGACAGATAGTGATCCTATATGGAGTGGATCCGACAAAGACAGGGGAGACCAGAATGGCCATTTCTGGATTGTTAACCATCATCAGCCAGTCGTACCCAATCTCAAGGGTTGGAATCCTCGAGATTCGAACCCGGGACCTTCGGTCATTGAGTGTAATACTCCACCTCGGCGCCACGGGCTCGTTGCTTTGTCGGTTGTGATCGTGAATATGATAAAACTTCGGAGATAAGTATATGCCCTAATCAGATAGATCGGATGAACACCCGAGTTCTAGTTATCCCATATGTATTTGTTTTATGAATAGCATTTCCGCGACTATAACCTATCAACCTCTAATATGCTGGATCGCGTCGAAGTGAAGGAGTCAAAAGCGCACACTTGTTTTGTAAACGAAGTCGATTTCTGCCACAATAACTTATATGTATGGCCGGAGATTGGTCGCGTTCACGAGAAATCTGATTTGGAGAACAAAAAGGAAGATTTTTAGTATGTATATGACACTATGGGTCCGCTTATAATCGAAGTAAAGCTTAGCAAATGAATAAAAAGGCAGTCAAATAACAGGTGCCTTGAAAGTCCCAATTGGGGATGTTTCTTGCAGAGTTTATTCTTGTTTGACAAACCCAACTAACGCTTTCTAATAATGCCATTTTTATCCAACCGCATATACAAGGTTCGTACTTTATCGCATCATCCTCGGCGACTTTGATATGGACGCAATCAAAGCCGCCCACCCCGTACTTGGCCCCTTCTACTTCATCATTTACATCTTCTTCGTGTTCTTCGTTCTCCTCAACATGTTTTTGGCTATTATCGGGGAGGCCTATTCCAAAGTGAAGGAGCGCATGGCAAAACGACCTAATGACTTCAAACTGATGGGTTATCTGCGTCAGGAAAGTCCCTTTTCTAATTTTTAATTAATATTTATTAATACTACTGTCTCTTACAAAGTAGTAAACTTTACTACCATTTATCTCTACTTGAACAGACAGTAACCGGCTTCAAGGATAAGGTAACGGGAAAAAGCCGGATACCTCTGGACCAAATTCTCGCTTCCGCCGGCCTGCATGATCAACTAGAGGTGAC